AATAAGATTCAACTAGTATGGAATCAGATTGATATTGATATTTGTTTAAAATTAATTAATACAATATCACAACGAGTTAAAGATATTTTTAAAGCTGGTGAAAGATATACGAAGTGGTGATTGGATTTTTAAAAAAATTCAAATAGGATTAGTTAGAAATTTTATTAAAAAATATGTAATCAAAGAAAGTCTAAAGTTTAATAATTAATAAAATTTTTTTTATTGTATGATAAATAGATTTAACAATATTACAATTTAAAAATTTTAAATGAAGTAGTGTAATAATTATAGAAGTTATGTATATAATTTATCAATTTTAATAATAATTTGATATATTTTATAATATGTGATATATATATATATAAAATTAATACGTATATATTTATATTGTACACATAAATTTTACATATTATATCTGAATAACTTATCTTATTTCTAAAATATAAATTTCTAAAAAATAAAGAATAAAATAAAATTGTAAAAATTCTTTTAAGATAAGAATATTTTAAATGAATCTAAAATATTGTCTATTAGGACTTATTCTAATTAAATAATTTATATTTTTTTAACTAAATAGCTATTATTCTACTAAAATAATTTTTATTATTTTTATTAAATAATTATTATTTCAAGTAACAATTTTTATCATTCTTATAGAATGATTATTGTGCTAAATATATAATTTTTAAAACAATTATTATTCCTTAAAAATAATAATGCATTATTTTAAAAAGATGATTTTTAATTATTCAATAAGAAAGTTAATCTATTGTTCTATTAGGATGATTTTTTTAAATTATTTAATAAAAATAATTTAAAAAAAATCATATCAAAGTAATAATAAGTTATTATTTTTATTAAATAATAAAATATCATTTCAAAAAATGATTTTTTAAATCTTTCAATAAGAATAATAATATATTATTTTTTTTAAGACAATTGTTTAATTATTTAATAAAAATAATAATTTATCATCTTTTTGAAACTATTTTTATATTGTTTAATATGAATGATAATATATTATTCTAAAGAAATAAATTTTAAATTATTTAATAAGAATAAGAATAATAATAATATATTATTATTTTTAGAATATGTTTTTTTAAATAATTTTTATTAAATAATGATGTATTATTCTAAAAAAATAAAATGCTTTAATTGTTTTAATAAGATAATTTGCATTATCTTATTAGAATGATGATTTAAATTATTTATATTATCCTATAAAGATAATGATCTAATCATTTATTTTAGATAATAATGCTTATTTTTTTTAATCAGAATGATATAAATTATTCTATTTAAAAAGATTATTTATATTATCCTATAAGATAATGATTTAATTATTCTTTAGAATAATAATTTTATCAATTTATTAGAAATAATTATATTTATCATTTCAAATAAAACAAATATATTTTATTATTCCTTTAGAATAATAATTTGTATTATTTTATTTAAAATAATTAATTTTATTATTATAAATAGAATAATTTGTATTATTTCTTTAAGACAATTTTTCTAATCAGATAATTTTTGTATTATTCAATTAACTATAAATTGAATAAGATAATTTAGGTTGATTTTTAGCTGATTAATAATTATATTTGATTAATAGATATTGATAAAAAATAATTTATTATATACAGTAATCTCTTGATATAACGAATTCTAGGGTTTGAATCTTAACTTTGTTATAAGTTTATAATGAATTTTTAAAGAATTTAATTGGCTGGTTCACTATAATAAGATATATTTGATATATTTGATTTAAAAATTGGTTATATAAGGGTTTGCTATATCAAAGTTTAACTGTATACCATATGTTTGATTGTTGATTTTAACTAATGCTATATATTAATTATACTACTAATACCTTTTTACTTTACATCTTTATTATTATTCAGAGTATAGCGAAGAACTATATAATTCCATGTTATTTGACTCAAAATGTCTGGATGTCTATCTGTTTGTTATTTGAGTCAATCAGTATGATTAGTATAAACAACAAATAAAGGAAGGAACTACAATACTTTTACCATTTCTGTAATTAGTGTAAAACTCTATTATTATAAAATAGTCTAGTGTAAAACTAAATATATAATCGCTAAAAAAAATTAAGAAATAAATTTATATATTGTATTGCTAAAAAATAAAAAATTTTGTAAAATAATTTATATATTACTAAAAAAATTTAATTTTTCACTCTCTTGATATCATAGAAAGTAGACACTCTTCTTCGACCTTCCTTTCTTGTAGTCTTTTGCAGCTCTGAATTTGTTGAAGTCTTTCGAAAGTAAATTGCTTAAAATAAATATTGTCTAATGAATGAACTCTTGATATTGCAACGAACGAAAAACCAGCAGCAAACTTCTTACTTTTAAGATTGATTTTAGCCTTTGATAATGTAAGCTCTTAGCTCTTATAAACCGTTATTGCCTACGCAAGATGTAAAGGTATCTGAAACTAAAAACATGTTTCAGATTTGCTTTCCCAGATGCATTTGATAGGAACGATTAATATAAGTTAACTGTTATCTGAATAATTTAATCTAAACGAATTTTCCGGATAATATCTAGCTCTATTTGTAATACTAGCCTAAATCTGAAATTATATTACTTTTTATAGAAATTGACTGTCATTATTGTAATTTCAGCTTTACTGCCAAATAGTAAATTTTTTTTAGTCAAAATTCTATACTTTACATAATTTAAAGTTTAAATATCAAATTATGATACAATGAAATAAATAAAAATTATAGATGAATACAATAGGCTATGATTAATATACCGTATTCCTTCAAAAATAAACACTACTTTTTGCACTTAATGCCAGTCAAAATTCTTATAATTCTGTTTATTTTTGTGAAGTGCTTATTTTTAGAGAAATATAGTAAATATTAGATTTGCAGATTTTGTCATCTGCAAAGATACATACATTAATTTGGTATAGCTTATTAAATTATATAAAAAAGCTCTGAATTTATAATGGTTTCTGTTTTCTAATATTAGATAAACTCAAAATAATATTGAAAAAAACTGTAATTATCAATAATTATAAAATTTTGGTTTTTTTATTTTTAATTTTTTTTAATTTTCTATTAATTAGTTGAATTTATTAAAGAAATTTCTTTTACAAAATACTTTTGTAATTTGCGAGTTAACTAATTATTTTTAAACAGATAATTTAAACAAAGAATAAAACATCTTAAAAATTTGCTGATTAAATAATAATTTATATTTTAAATTAATTATTTTATTTATAAAATAATTATTAATTAATTTTAGCTGATTTATAATAAAATAAAAATAATATTTTAATTATTAATAAAATTTAATTTTTGTATATATTTCATTTTTTATAAAGATAGCTTTATAATTTAAAACATAAAATTAATAAGAAAGATTAAGTACTTATAATAAAAAAAATAAAAAAAATACTATTTGTAAAATTATATTCAAAAATATATATTATGATAAATTTAAAAAGATGTTTACAATTATATAGCTGAAAAATATTATGAATATATGTATAAGCATCAAAATAATAGGCTTTATCCTTTCATTTATGATTATTTATGAATAAAAATATTAAAAAAATTTTGCTATAATTAATTTTTCAAATATTAAGCTTTAAATTCTATTTAAATATTTTAATTTATAATTATATTTTTATAAGGAATAATTACTTGCAATTGTATATAAATATTCAGATAATATGGACATTATAAGTAATTTCTATATTCTAATTAGGAAATAAATATAAATGCAATTCAAAAGATTAGTATCTAGCATAACAAATAACAGCCTTTTTTATATTATAAATAATAAAATTAAAATATATTTCTATCCTATTAGAATGTCTTATATTCCTTATAAGTATCAAGAAATATTTTAAGTAAATTGTATATTTTAATATTTAATTTCATTCTATTATTATTATTATCAAATTATCTTATGATTTAAGCTTATATAACATTTGGTAAGATTTTAATATTTAATTTTATTCTATTATTATTATCAGATTATCTTATGATTTAAGCTTATATAACATTTAGTAAGCATTCATAAAATTTTGTTAATCATATTGATTCAAATAGTAACAATAAAGTTTTGAAAATTCTTTAGGTTATTGCTAAAAAAAGTCTTTTTAGATATTATTATATTATTGTATATATAATCTACTTAAAAGATTATCTGATTTGATATCTTAAAAAAAAGAATACAATGTCTTTATCCTTTTTACTCGATTCATTAGGCCTTCTATAAAAAAAAATCATCAAAAAATTATAAAAATGCTATGATTTTTGAAAAACAAAAAAATCCTTACTTTTACTTAGTTATTAAAGTATTATTTATATTTATTTTAGTATATAAAATTGAATTAAAGTTCTGGTCAAATGTTTACAAACTGCATTGAATAAATTTAAAGATTATTATAATATAGCAAATTTATAAACCATATCTTAATTATCATCATTCTTTCTTTTAATCTGAATCATGATCTAGACCCAATAGTTATGTAAAAAGTAATGCAAATATACAGATTCAAGTAGATAATGAAAAATAAAAGATGGTATCTTAAGTGAAGACAAGACTGTTTATTTCTAATAATGAAGAAAAAGAAAATTTGGATCCTATAGCTATTCTAGCCTATAAAAAGAGGAAAACAGGCAAGAGATAATTTGAGGAATATAATAAACAATCAGCCAAATTGAAATATCATAATTAGCATTCATGAGATTTTATCATTATAATGATATTATTGCAATTTATGTATTATTTACAAATTTGTCTTTAAATATTTTTTTATCAAATTTACAATTTTTAGTTTTTTTATTACTAAAATAATCGCATCAAAAAAAGAGAATGGAAGAAAGAAAAATTTTTTTTTACTATGGTAGCTACGCCAAATACATATAATCGGTGTAACCTGTCACACATTACAGTACCCAGAAAAGTTATAAAATCGCTTTCATCTGCTTTTTGTTTTTTAAAAAAATGGATAATTCTATTATATTACCAAATAAGGCAGTTCGAAAATATAGATATCGCAAAGGGTTTATGAAAAAACAATCTAAAAATAATGATCGAAAAGAACATGAAAGTAATAAAATTGTATCTTTTAATCAAATAAATTATGTTGGGGTTGCTTATGAGAATTACAATAGGACATCAAATAAGAGTAATGAAGTGAATAGAAACGTTGAGAAAGTATGGTTTAGTGGAAGAACTAAAGCGAATACTAAATTTAATAAATTTTTGGTATGCATTAAATGAAATCTTTGTAACGATTAAAATTTATTATTTTATTAAATGTTGTTTTTACAGGATGAAGGTAATAAGAACGTTAACGTCGGTAATTTTAATGGAGATTGTTCAAAAGAAATTCATACATCTTTAGAAACGTGACCTAATTGTGCTACAGATAAATAAAAATTATGACTCATAATTTGAATATGACTCATATGGTACAATTTACCTTTATAAGCCCGATACACAAAAAGTTACACACAGAAATTTTCTTTCAACCAATATTTTCCTTTTGATCAATCATTTTTTTTTTTTTAAGAATTCTAGCCAATTTTTTTTTCTTTTTTTGGTTTTTCTTCGATTTATATAAAAAGTCAACTATGTCAGACGCAGAGTTCGATTCAAACGAACAAAAATTAGAAGAAGAAAAGAGTGAAGAAGAAGTATGTATCAATAAATTTATCAAAAGGTATATAATTCCTATGGTGAATTTTATTATTAACTTTTATTTTTATATTATTTAGTTGCTGTTTGATCCTAGTTTGAAAAAAAAGAAAAAGAAAAAGAAAGCAGTAGTTTTTGAGGATGAAGTAGAAAACAAAGAGGACGCTGAAAATCAAACAGAAATTCAAGAAAATGGTGATAAATCAGGTACGATAAACTTTAATATGTTTTTGGACGCAATTAAAGTTTTTTTTTTAATTTGATCTACTTTTTACTATAGTATCAGTCGAAGGTAATGATAATGAAGAAGCAAAGGCAGAAGGTGATGACATTTCAATATTTGCTGATATGAAGAAAAAGAAAAAGAAAAAGAAGGAAGCAACAGATGTATATAAACTTTCGTATTTTTTGTTTATAATTTTATTATAATTATTTTCATAATGATTTACCCGCGTATATTCCGAATCTGTAATCAGAAAGAAAAGGCGGAAGAAGAAGCTCTATTAGAACCTATTGAAGGTGATTTACCAAAGAAAAAGAAGAAAAAAAAGACAGATATGTTAGAATTTGAGAAACAATTAAAGGAGGGTGATGAAAGCGAAAATCGGCAAGAAGATGAAATATTTATCGTGGAAGGTGAACAGGATACCAAAGAAATTAAGATTGAAGAAACCTGGCTCAGTACAGATCGAGATTATACATATCAAGAAGTATGTATTCTATTACAATTTTTGCTAATTTTACAGTATTAATCCTTATGAATTATCTAATTGATTATCAAATAGCTTTTGGGCAGAGTCTTTCAAATCCTTCGGCAAAATAATCCCGAACTTGCCGGTGAAAAGAAGAGATACACGATTGTACCACCATCAGTTCACCGTGAAGGAAACAAAAAGACAATATTTGCAAACGTTGCAGACATTTGTAAGAGGTAAGTTTGAAGTTAATTTTTTTCCCCCGACTATAACTTTATTAATCCTATTATTGTACATTTACTACAGAATGCACAGACAACCTGAACACGTAATTCAATTCTTATTTACTGAATTGGGTACAAGTGGTTCGATCGATGGTTCACAACGGCTAGTCATCAAAGGTCGCTTTCAGCAAAAACAGATCGAAAACGTATTGCGTCGATATATAGGTATGTTTTCGAATAGTTCTAAATACTACAAAAGTTTTTTAATGAATGTAAATGATAAACTAAAATAATGCAATTTCATCAAGTTGAATACGTTACTTGTAAGACTTGCAAGTCTCCTGACACAATCCTTACCAAAGAAAATCGTATTTTCTTTCAACAATGTGAAAGTTGTGGATCAACGAGATCAGTTTCGGCAATTAAGTCAGGTAATTTATACGCCATTTTAAAATTTTACTATTACAACCTTCAATTTTTTTTAATGCATATTACTACTTTTTCCATACCGATACACAGGTTTCAAAGCACAAACGGAAAAGAGAAGACGACAAGTTGCCCAATAATAAAAAAAAATATATATTACACAAAAAAAAAAAATCATTATTTTTCTTTCGGTATTTCTAAATAAATTCTTCCGATCCGACTCCAAAAATTTTTTATTATCTAATTTTCAATCTACTACTTTATTCATTCCAATCCAATTTTCGTTAGTATTTAATTGATTTTAAGAAAATGGGTAAAATCATGTATATATAATTATCAAACATTGGACATATTTTATTTGATTAAACAAGTTTCACTTAGAAAGGCGGAGTTAAAAAAGGAAAAGTCAAATGATGATGATAATAAAATTATAATATTTTATCTCATAGAACTAACAAGATGTGACATATATGATTTTAATTGGACTATCATTGTTAATCAATAATATTGAATGGATAATTTTGATATACGATCCTCACAAATTCGGGAGGAATAATAAAAAAAATAATTTTATAATTAATATTTCAATCTGATAAAGATAAATTTTTTTTAAAGTTATCTTAAAAACGTTCCTCATATATTACGTTTTTGATGTAGATCTTATTTAAATAGATCTGATCTACAAAATTTCCCGGAAAAATTTCTTTCTTAAAATAATTGAATTACTTAAAATTAATCGAATTATATCTAAAAAAAAAAAGGTACAAATACCTTACTTCAATCATTTGTTTTTACCCTTGCCTTTCAAAAGGCCATAAGGATTGAAAAGATAAAACAATCAATGAAAGTTGGTAAGAATTATATATTGAAACTCGATGAAATCATATTTAAATATTTTAATAATAACATCAATATCATCGATAACTTTTTTTTATTTAATTTGAAGCCTGTCTACAGTTTAATCCAAAAATTGGTGAGGTTGAAAGGAATCAAAACTACGCATCTAGTATACTGAAGAGGTATGGTTTTTTGATTTTGAACAGGAACTTTATTCCATTTTTTTTATTATATTTGAAATGATTGAATCTCAAATTAGATATAAACCAGGAGAGATAGATATTTTGATTCTTCCCGAATTGGCCTTCACCGGTATTTATTTAAATTCACTTACTAATTCCCTCTAATGAATATTAAATAATATACTTTTATATTAGGTTATGTGTTTAAAGATAAGGATCATATTAAACCGTACTTGGAAGACTCGGAAACAGGAACTTCAGTTAAATGGGCCAAAGAGCAATGTTAGTTATAACATCTTTGAAAACAATGAATATATATTTATATAAATTTTCATCCCCTGAAATTTTTTTTTTGTTTTTTTAACAAAGCTATTAGATTACGTGCATTCACCGTGGTTGGATATCCGCAAATCGTAAAAGGTAACAATTAACGGTAAAATTTTCTTTTTTTATCAATTACATTATAATCGAAGTAATTTGAATTCGAATAATTAGGAAATCCAGATAAATACTATAATAGCTTGTGTTTTATTAACCCGTATGGAGAACTTATCGAAACGTATCAAAAAACTCATTTGTATGAAACAGATGAAAATTGGGCTGAAGAAGGTCCTGGATTTAAGTCAATAAACGTCCCTAATCTGGGAAAGGTTTGTTTCTTTAATAATTTGTAATACCATTATGAAAATAATGTTAAGGAAACCAATTTTCTTTCAACAGATCGGTTTCGGCATATGCATGGATCTTAATCCGTATCAATTCAAAGCTAGCTTTACAAAATATGAATTTGCTAGTTATCATATTCAACATCAAACAGAGATTATATTATGTCCGATGGCGTGGCTTATGTCGGAATATAGTCAACAAATAAATGATGATAAGCCGGAATCTAGTACCATAAATTATTGGTGTAATCGATTATCACCTTATTTTACTGATTCAACCGCACTAACAAATCCAGGATCTAAACGTAATACGTTATTCGTTGCGTGCAATCGTACAGGAACCGAGAATGGTTTGTATTCTGTTAATATTATTACCTTCTCTTACTTTCACATTGAACATGTTTGTCAAATATAAAAAAAATTCTTTGTTAAATATAGGTTCTTGTTTTGCGGGAAGTAGTAGCGTTCTACTATTATCCTCCGAGAACCCAATTGTGTTGGATTCATTGAAATCTAAAGAAGAAGCTGTTATGATTGTTGACGTGCCATCATTGTAATATCGGATATTTGTTTTCCTTCTTTTTATTTTTTAAGTTTATAAGAAATTATGTTTATGTACTATTTTTATTGTATTTCATAGATAAGCACAATTTATTAGTAATTTTTTTTTTCCTATTCGTACTACCTACCTGTTTGTTCGAACAAATTCTTTCTGCTTCGTTGCTTCGTTTTTTATCTTTATTTTTAATATATCGACTCTCCCACTATACTTACTCCTCCCGTCTTGTTTTATATATATATCAAAATTGGTTTAATATTTTTCTCAATATTTATCTCACTGTATAATTATCATGAATTGCGCCAATATTTCTTAACCCATATTCACCATTTGAATTGTATAACGATAAGAACATAAATTATTACAAATAACGTATTAAAATTTCTATTCATTTTATTCATCTCCGTTGCGACGATACACATGTAATATTAAAGAATGGACAGAATTATAATTATATATTGATGCAATTAGGTATAATATACGATAAAGTTATAGTATTTAAATTTTATATGCACATGTGTTGTTTGTAACAGGAGGAACCGTCCATTGTTACACAGATTTTCATATTTGCCGAAAATTTCCGATTTTGATTATCCAATCAAAACAATAAGTGTCACGTGAAAAATAACC